TTCCTAACAAAAAAAAGAGCATGTTTTTTTGCCTCCCCCCCCCCCCCCCCCCCCCCCCCCACCCCCATCGCAGGACGCAACGAGCCTCTGAAGAAAGACCGTCCCAAGTGGAAGAGTGACTATCCGATGACCGAGGGCCAGCTGCGGAGCAAGCGCGACGAGTTCTGGGACACGGCGCCGGCCTTCGAGGGCCGCAAGGAGATCTGGGACGCCCTGAAAGCAGCGGCCGTGGCCTTGGAGGGCAGCGACCACGACCTGGCCCAGGCTATAGTGGACGGGGCCAGCATCACGCTGCCACACGGTGAGGACGGGAGAAAAAAGGCGTGGGTCTTACATTACATAGCTTAAATGTCTCGGAAAAATACAACCCGTCATGTTTTTGTTTGACACCTTTCTACAGGAACTCTTGCAGAGTGCTACGACGAACTGGGGACCCGCTACCAGCTGCCCGTCTACTGCTTGGCTCCGCCTGTGAACCTCATCTCAGAGCGCAGCGACGACGACCCCAACGATGGCCCCGAACCTGCTGTGGCGCCTAAGAAGGAGTTCCAGCTCAAGGTACTGTGACACAAGCATCCTTAAAGACTCGCCTGGTTGTTTCTCTCATTTAATTTGGGAGTTTTTTTAAAGGTAACCAACCAATTAAACTCTGTTATTTATGTACTTTTTGTCCGCCGTTAATCTTCACGCTCCCCTGTCCACTGCAGGTGCGGCTGTCCACGGGCACGGACCTGCGCCTCAGCGCCAGCATGGCCGACACTATCGGGCTCCTGAAGAAGCAGCTGCAGGCCCAGGAGGACATTGACGCTGGCCACCAGCGCTGGTTCTTCTCCGGGAAGCTGCTCACGGACAAGACGCGGCTGCAGGACACGAAGATCCAGAAGGACTTTGTCATCCAGGTCATTGTCAACCCGCAGGCCCTCCGAGGCCCCAAGCTGTCACCCACCACCACCCCCACCAACACTCCCACCAACAGCCCCACCACCGCCACCCCCACCGCTGATGCTGACGCCTCCTCGCCTACGTCTGAATGACCAAGGACTCAGAGGATGGACGGAGGGATGGTGGGCGGCGGCACACTCTTAAGCACCAGAGCTGCCTCCTATTGCTGGATAACTTTTTGAGATCGTACCGTGGAGGTACAAAACTACTGCGGGGCAAAAAACACAAGGGAGAAAATCATGAAAGTGCTGCTCTCTTTCATCTACCATGTGTCATTGTATTTTGTCTTGTGTGCTGGTTTTGCTCTTTAAGCGGATCCAGTCACCACGCTGACTCTGGAGGTCCTCGTCCCCCTGCCTCTCTGAACCATCTTGAATAAAAAGCAGAATGCAGCCTTTTCGACCACATACAGAATGTGCACATCATGCTGCACGTGCAGACTCCGCCTCTGCACTTTTTTTTTAATCTGCACTAACGCTAACTTAAGTGCCAATGGAAGAGAGGCAGAGAGGCGTTAGTGTGGTTCTAAAGCACATTTCTATATGATGCCCGTGGACTTCTCTTCTCCACAGAAAGACGAGGGGAAGGCAGATACTGAGACTTTTTTCTCCTTTCTTTCTTTTCTCGAGGAAACAATGTAAACTGAGCTTTTTTGCACATTTTGAAGATTACTATACTTTCGTGGTAGTTTGTGTGCCTTCTACAAGACAAAACAAAAAAAGGGTTACTGTCTGGCTAGTTTTACCGCTAGGCTAATAAGCCTTCTGTATTTTTTTAGATTCAGGAACTCTTAGATCAACCCAAGCTGTAACCGCTGCCTTTTTTTTAACGATTTCATGAATCCTACAGACAAAACATCTGGCGTGTGTGTTGGGGCGAAAGTAATGTGTGTTTGGCGACTATGATGACATTGCAGTTTGACGTAGTTCACGGAGACGAGACTGTTTCCCCGGTCATAGCTTTGCAGTCAATCATGTCATTTTGTAAAGGGAAAGAGTATTCTCCCATGTAAGAATAATGGTCTTAAAAGATGCATTGTTGACCATTTAATGACCCCCCCACCCCGCCCTGCCCTGTCCTCTAGGGGGCAGCAACACACAGCCCTGATACATTCAGCTCACTTGCTTCGGGCTTGTTCTTTTTTTTTTTCTCCACCCGATGAATGTAAATCCAGTATTCATTTTCCTTTTTTATGCTCGATCTGTTTGACTCCCTTCACCAGCGTACATACGGCCTCCACGTTTCATATGTGAGAGCCACGATGAGTCCATGTGGCGCGGTGAACCGAAACAATGAGAGGGAAGCACCGTAGACTCAGGTGTTGGTTCTCAATGGAGCCGGCAGTACAGGAAGTCTTTAGTTTCAGTGTCAATATCAAGAAAAGATAACTTAAAGGGGCGCTATGATTTGAAAGCATTAAAAGTAGACATCTTTCTGGACGAGTGATGTCATGACCTTTTCTTTTTTTTTTCATTTTCTATAAAGTATCATTTCACAGCATACTGGGATCACTGTACGCTGCGTAGAGGTCAGACCTTTTGGGTGGAGTGACGCTGTTCGTGACAACTCCAAACATTTGGTTACCGTCCGCTGCTCACAAAGCATTAAAATTAACCACTTTTAGTGGTTTTTTTTTTGTTTTTTTTGTTTGTTTTTTTAAAGCTGTCAGGTGAGTTCTCCAGGTAGGGAAGTGGCTCATTGCCTGAATAAAATAAATATGAAGTTAAAGATAGAAGATTAATTTTAGTCTTTGAACAAGTCATTTTGCCCTTTTCTGAGTCTGACATTGAGCAGTGTTTTTAGCCTGTGTATATAGCAGCACAGCTGCAGTGACTGTGACTGATCGCCGTTGCACGGTGAAGATAATTGTTTTGAGTTTGTTCCTCCGGCGGCTGCCAGAGGACACAAACACAATTGCCTTGAATTTGCGCCGGCTACTCGTAGCCAAAGCTCCCATCAGGCCTGACGGTCTACGTGGTGAACCATCGTGGCTACATT